AAATCCTAACAGTATCAGATCTATTAACAAGCAAAGATTTTTTAATCTATCCATCTACTCTGATAGATAACTATATAATTTTACTATTTCTCTTCTTGACCCAGCCACTTTGATAGATAACTATATAATTCTACTATTTCTCTTTCTGTATATATTTATCTTAGTTTAGTTTTTCTGCTCACAGCTGGTCTGCTTTGGCAGATAAATAACCATTGGCTAGCAAACCCTATAGTAACTTCTAGCACAATAAGTATTACAATTTTTATGATGCTTTTGCCATTCTGGCTATCATTGGCCAATAGCTTTATGTATAACCATTATATACTGACTATTATTTAATCACTTCAATAAAATAAAATTATCTTCAATATAAAATAACCTGCTGGTATAGCCCCCCAAAAACAAAAAATCTAATTGTATAATACAGGACTTTTTGAAAAATAAAATTAATAATTACACAATTCTTATTTTTTGATATATTAAAATTTCTGATTCTTTCCTTATCATTAATATTAATCTATATTATAATGATAATAATTATTCAAATTTATAAGTTAATTATTTTATTACTCTTTATTTAAAAGATTGCATCATGCAGTATTTATATGTAGCAAAATATTATATAGTTATTGTATATGATAATAATTAGTTAATAATCTAGCCATATCAGCTGAGTTACTGAATGATTAGAAAAGAACATTAAATATAGCAGTTGATACAGATGGAAACATGCAATAACAGTTTTATTTAATGATTTACTATCTAATATAATCAATAATTTTATTATATAAAAATACTATAAAATAATTAATTTATTTTATAGACTGAGTATAGTAAAGTATTGAATAATACATTATATTTATATAATCTAAAGTTTATTAGTTCTCATATTAATATACATATTCATAAATTGCATTCTTGATATCTATACTTAAAAATCTACTAACTTAATAAAAAGATAACTCTATTTTTACTTAAAACAAATCTGGCTTTAATGTTTTCCCAAATTAGTTAGTAAATATTTATTCATCAATATATATTTATCAATAAAAAGTAGTGCATATTAGAGATGTTATTCAAATCTAGTAGTTTGGAATTCAGTAGAATTTCAAAGGTTTTTACTAGATTCTACAAATATATCGTAACCCAAACTATATTTGGGATATTTTAAAACATTATAAATCAAATATTATTAGTAATTACTGGTTCTTTAATACTGATGCTCTTTATCAATAGTGAAATATGGCTTGTATATTAAAAGAAAAGGATTTTCTGTTATTTTGTACCTTGTCTATAGAAAAACTAAGAATTGCTATAATACCAAAATTAACAAGTCTTATAGTTATAATTTTCTTAGATTTTCAAGATTTAGTTTCAAACAAAATATTGCTAAAATCAAGCTTTATTCAGAAGAATCTTGCTTAATATTTTTTTTTTAATCCTTTAGAATTGCTATTGAACAAATCTTATTATAGAAAACAAATGAAATAAAGATTTTTATCTATTTTATTATTATTTTAAATTTTTTATTTTTATTTTTTTTTGTAAATCTGATGTTTATTATAATCTAATTATTTTATTAAATAGCATCTAATACTGTATTAATAGGGTTCATATAAATGTTACCAGAAATTCTAGATACAATTCTTTACATGATAGAAAATGAGCTTTAATCAAAATAACTAGAATAATCAGTTGCACTGTTCTTTTAATTATTTGTTATTTATTATAGATATTTAATAGAATAGGTGAGCAAAATAAAAATAAATTTGCTAATAATTAGTAATCATTAATGTTTTAATAGCGAAGTTACAGAATTTGCAGAGTTTGCTTACCTATTCTATAGAACATCTTTTATTATTTTAAAATCTGTTTTAGAATACCTAGTATTATTTGTCAATAATATATTATTATTTTTTTTGTATATGGTAGCTGTGATAGATACTTGTAATAAATATAAAAAGAATATTTATAAACTTATTGTAAAGCAACTATATATGATTTTAATAAACTATCTATATTTTGTCAATATAGATATAGCAAACCTACTTAAAGTCTAGTTCAATGATAAATTTTTTTTTATAAGGCCTGAACCCTTTATTATACCATAGAGAATACAATTTAAGATCCAGAAATTAATTAATCTTATATTCTTTGATTCTTTTTTTTTTGAAAAAAAATTTATTAATATGATCTATATAGTATTATCAAGCAGTTATTACTCTACTTTTAAATAATATTTTATTTTTTAATTTTATTATAACAAATTAAATCAAATTTGCTATATTATTCAGCAGATTTTAAATACTATTCAAGTATTTTTATTCTGATCATCTTCATTTTTTACTAGAATAATTTAAAAATTTTTAATAGATTTATATATCAAAGTTGATAAATATATACTAGATTTATATATAAGATAAAAGTTTGTGTTGAGATCAAATAACAAATTACAATAAAAATTAGATAGTAAAAAACAAGAACCGAATATTAGCATAGTTTGATAAAATTATTTTTACTACAATAAAAAAATATATTATCTTTCTAAATTTTAAAAATACTATGTTTTCTATTAATATTATATAATATTTTAATAAAATAATCAATTTTTACAACTAGTTTTAATAAAGAAAAAACACTAAACAAAAGTAAGTATAATTTATTTATGATTGCATAAATCTATATATCTTATTACAAATTCTTATCAGTATTTTGAAATTCACTCTTTACAATTGTTGGTAATCAAATTCCATATTACTATTTCTTACTGTTGAATGAAATACTTCCTTAGTATTATCTTGTCTACCAAAATTTATATTTGACAAATCGATTATTGAACAAATTTCAAGTTTTTTATTATTTAATTGAAGAGGTGCTAAAATATTACTATTTTGTTCTAAAACTATATTGTTATTTTCTGTAACTGCATAAGTTGTCAAATCTAATACACTATCACATAGTTCATTTTTTGACAACTTTTTATCATAAAATTGAAATTCATATTTAAGGTTAAAAATATAAAAGAAATAGATTTGTGTTATACTTTCAATTTTTTTAAAAGATAATTGTGAATGATATATGCTGTATAACTATTTTAAAATAGAAAAATTATACTCACAACTTGCTTGTAAAAGTACAATTGCAAAAAGTATTTTTGCAAGATTCTGAAGATAACTATAGCTATCTTCAAATATGCTTTACTATAAACTAGATAATATAGATGCATTATAATCAAAATCAAATAAATACTCTTTATTTTTATAGTAAATTATTTGTATAGTTAATTGTTAACATGCATTTTCATCATGATAAGTACTTTTAAAAAATTTAACAGCTATTTCACAAATTTTTCTAAATATTTCATAATGTAACCCAAGACCTATATTTAAAAAAAAATTTTTTTTTGTATAAACTTATTAGTTTTAGATCATTAATATCAAGCTTATTAAGAGTATTACTATATAGTTTCAAAATTAAAAATTATACTATATCTCTATAACCTGGGTGAAGAAAATAAATAAGTAGATATGAATTAATATTATATTCAGTATAGCATTTTTAAATATAACAATAGCTAGTTCATAAAAAGCATTATTCTATTATACTAATAAAGCAATTAGCTAGATTTGCTATATGTGCTTCAAGACTATGAATTGCTTTCTTAATAAGTCAAATTATAGATGCAATTTGACAACAATTCATATAAAATAATTGCAGGTTTTTTAATTATATCCTGATTATTTTCTAATATCTAAAAAAAATAAAATTTTAATATATATTGTACATAGACAGTGTCATTTATTATCTGATTTTTTTTTATCAGAGGTTTACCCTCTCCCCTCTTACTATATATTTTGATCAGGTCTTTATATATAATTTTAAATTTTTTATCTCTCCCCCCTAAAAAATCACCTGATTTTTGTCACGTCCCTTATTATATATAATAATAATTATTGTATATATATATATAGTATCTTATTAAAAACAGGTTTTAATCTTACAATCGAAGATGTAATTCCAAAAATTGAAGTCTACCTTGTCTTACAATATGTCTCTAGACCACCTCTACTTAAATTTATACTTTTAATATAATCATAAAGTAATTAGCATGCTCAATATAATTTTTAAAATATTGAACAATTTGATTAGCTTGTTTTAAAACATGATCAACTGATTTAACCTTTACTATATTGCTTGCAATTAGATTTAGTGCATGGGTAATATATCTAATATTTCATATATGTGAATAATTATATGTAATTATTTTATAAGCAACTTAATATTGCTTCTATTATCAGTAACACAAGCTATAAATTTATCAGAACTAATTTTGTCAATAATATCCAAAATTTTGAAGACAAAAAATTTACTAGTTTGTGTTATATAGTCCATTCTGTCAAAACTGGTTTGCATAGTAGAAAGGTTTTATATCAGCTTTGAGAGGTTATTGGATTTAAGTTACTAATAGCCTAATGGTCACATAATCCTATCTAAATATAATTAGTCAAATTATATTTATACATACATATTCAGTTACACAAAATTGGATTTGAGCCAATTAAATTGATTAATGTTATCTTACAAATCTGATATCTTATAGATATCTGATATTTTGAGTATTGGTTATCAGAAATGACAGATTATCAGATTTGAATTATAGAACCAATATGGTGGATCAACTTCTTATCAGTTATGGAAGGTTATCGGTTTTGACAGAATCAGTTTTGACAGGGTGTACTGTATCTGAGAAATCTAAGATTAATATAAATATTCTTTTCTATCACTTGTAGAAACAATAAAATTGTATAATAAGTTATTTGTTGGGCTTGACCAACTACCAATCACTAATAATTAAAATAATAATAAAAAAACTATATATTAGAAAATTAATTGTTAAAACTAATATTTAACCTTTTTTTATTATCTAATATTAAATATTTTGCTTTATTAAGTAAATTATTTACTCGAACTGTTATATGGGCTACTTCCTCATTAAGTATTCACTTTGCTAATATAAGTCTTCCAGATAAAATATATCCAGGTTCAAGTATATTAAGAAGATCATAAATAAACGGATTATCAATTATAGCAAATACAATTCCAGCACAAATGAAAGCTTTAAGTAAAGCTTTATTAATTTTGTTACCTCTTTCTTTTGATATAGGTTTAAAATGTGAAGTTGAAGCTTTAGGCCTTATTAATGATAATAATATTGCACTTTTATTATCACTATTATTATCGCCTAATTTGTTATTTCGTTTTGCCACTTGGACTAATCAATGATACCTTATATTATCAGAAATATTGCCTTTACAATGGAAGGCTAAGTAAGCTTCTATAGTTGAAGTTTTTCACATTTTTATTTTTCTTGAAAACAATAATTGCATTGTATACTATAGTGTCCTTTACTATTAGACTTCCTAAGAATGAAATTATCCCAAACTGTAGATTGTGGGTGCCTACCTTTATTTATTAGTACTCTTGGAAGATTTACTGCTTCTGATTTTTATTTTCCAGTAGTTTGACTTGATTGAGATACTTCAGATGCAGTTTCTAGTAAATCCTCTTCTATAACGAATTTTTAATTATTACGAAAAGTCAAAAAACAACTTTATTAAACTTTGATTATATATATATTTATAATGACTATTGATTTATTTTTTAAAGAAAATAATTACTGACATACTAAATTACTTTTGAATAATAATATATAAACAAGTTATATCTTATACAAAGAATTTTTTTTAAAAAAAAATGTTAACTAAAGCTAATATTATTGCAAGAATTTTTTTTAAAAAGATTAACCTAAAAACTAAAATTTATTGCAAGAGTACATAGAATTTGTAAAAAGTAAAAGAATTCAATAATAAATACAAGTTTTTGAAAAGAAAAGTTGATTTAAATCATGTAATTATTAATTGTAAAGTTGGTTGTTGAACATAAAAAAATAGATCATGTTGAAAACTGAATGTAATAGGACAATAGATCGAATTCAAAAGGCCAAAGAAGCGCTTCTTGCCCATGAGTAACTAGTTCTGGCTTTTAAACCAGTGAAATCTCAAATCAAGAGAACAAACTATAAAATAAATATGAGCTAAGTATCTTTAGTATAACAATTGATAATTGATTGGCTGGTAATGTTTGGGATATGCAATAAGAAATGGACGGAAGTATAGGTTTTGAATTGGGTTTTGAATGTCAATAAATATCGACCCCAAACCCAAATTAGGTAAAAATCCCAAAATGTCCCATACGGGTTTGGGTAACATCGTTAGTGCACATACGTACATACTAGAGCTGCAGGTGAAACTAAATCACACTGGTGAAACTGGTGACTATCTAAAATCTGATTGGCTGTTGCATTCAATAGCCAATCAGATTTTAGATAGTCACCAGTTTCACCAAGTTTCACCAAGTTTCACCAGTTTCACCAGCAACTCTAGTACATACATACGTTGTAATGGGGTAATATGACCTAGCCGCAGTTATGAAAACGTGATTTAAGCCACATGACTCGGGACCCGAAATGCAGATAGATCGACAAAGCAATGGCATTTAATAATAATTCAGGTTTGGCTTGAGGCGATGCTCCATTGAGAACAATAGTAAGGCGTCGCTGGTATTCACATGGCGAAAGACGAAACGGTGAAACCCTGGCGAAACGGTGAAACCTTGGCGAAACGGTGAAACCCTGGCATAACCCATAGTAAAGGTGAGCCCCTGGAGAAAGTCAAAACGCGGCGAAGATCAAATCCTCTAAGACTTTGGAAAAGACTGAGCCATATTAATAAATCAAAATATTTTGCGCGTGACTATTACGTACAGCATGTGGCTTATATAAAAAATGTACGTACAAAAGTAATAAAACAAAGTGATAATCTTTTGTTGCATTCAAGTGCTATTAAAAGAAACTCCTATTTTGAAAATTCAAAGCCTGAAATCTTGTATAAACTGAGTTCGATAACCAGTTTCACGTATATAGTTTGAAACAGTGTTCAAACGAGTTTTTAAGCACAAATTAACCAGTTGGAACAGGATAACATCCCTATTTTAATCCAAACCAGCTTGGAATACAATTTAGCCTACTGCTTCGGAGTAATATCTTTGGTCGATCCCTTATATAGTAACGACTTCTGGACAATAATAAATAGTTATCAGGCAGGCACTGCCTGATAACTGGTTTATTTGGTCAAGGATTTAAGATCAGACTAAGAAATCGAATTCCGAAGGAATTCAATTTTTTAGGCTGACCTTAAAATCCTTGACCAA